TAAAAAAAAAAAAAAAAAAAAAAAAAAAAAAAAAACTTCTATCTGAACAACTGGACAAACGGGAATATACACGGAGGCTCAAAACAAAACTAAAGGCAAAGAGCCCAAACAAAACTTTAGAATTACAATAGGCGATCAGAGCCTGGAAATAACTTCGGACTCTTTTCTCTCGTGAAATCGATCCCAATATTTGTTGCGTTATTTGTAGAAATTGTGGGCAGAGATATAGAAAGTGACGGCGGTGCAGAGAGAGGGGGATTTAGACAGGTTTTAGCTTTGATACCACTTTGATGTGGAATGAGTGGATTGAAGTTCCTTAAGAGCTGAAGAAGAATAAAAAGAATCAGAAGGCGGTAGGAGAGGAAAGACCGGATGAGAAGGAAAAATTTAGGGGAGGAAAAAGGCAGAGAAAACTTGATCACGAAGCTTAATTTCATTCATCATATACATTCACTGCTTTGGAAGTTCCCGTTACGACCATATAAATAACAAAACCATAAACCTAGATAAGGGCTTGAGTCTCCAGCACATTTAAATGAGTCATTGTGACATATAACAGTGGTGGGTCGTCTTTATCTCGGGCTACAAATTTTGATTCACACATACTTCTAGCCAATCATGTTTCACTTATAGTTTACAATCCTATCGTAGCTTTTATGTTCATCTCTAGGAGACAGCCTTAATAAATGAGATTTCTGCACATAATTGGTCCATCAAAAGTTGATGGTTGGTGACTAGTGTGATAAAATTACTATTTGATTTTGTTAAATAGCGATTGTTATTGGATAAACTCAAGTTTGGATGGCTTTTCATGGACGAAGTAGAAAGGGGCCAAAGAAGGGCAAAAAAAGAAGTATTGTGAAGCCCAATGACTAAATCATAAATCTTCAAAAGTTAACTTGGACTAACATTTGATAATTGAAGATTAGATAGATCAAATTGGATGGAATTATAAATTGAAGGACTAAGATTGTCCAAGAAAAGGACTCAAGCTTAACGAAGTATGAAATCTAGAGACAAATGAAGATAATCAAAAAGCTCAGGCGTTATGATCACAACCCATTTAGGTTTGCAGTCTCATGGTTACTTGCAATAGAAAGATTCTATATCCTTCTTCAACTCAATCTGTTGACTGAAGCAATTCTACCACATTTTATCACTTTAATGGCATAATTTCGATTTCCAAGCTTGAGATAGAGAACAAGATGCTAGAAACTAGAAATTCATTGTTCTAATTCACAAAGTGAAGATCGATTCTTAGATTTTTAGCAATAAAAGGGAGGTGAAATAAGAAATTGTTCAAGAAAACTTGTAGAGATTCAAGAATTTGTGACTTTTCCTCTTTTCCATCTTACCTCTAGAATCAGGGCAATGTTTCAATTTCAACAATGAATTCTTCTAAATTTGTATTTTTCGACTAAACATCAAGTCACTAGGAATAGATGAACCCTTTATGAAGTTTTGATATAAAGTTAACTTTGAAGTTTGATGCTCATTTGTTTTAAATAATTTTTATTGATAATAATGCTTTTCCATTCATTAACTACTAATTGAATTATTTAGGGATTGTCATTTCATTTGAGAGAAAGAATAATGGATATAGAATATATGGCAATTGTTGCAGGCTTCGATTGGAAATAGAAATATACCAATATGTCTTACATGATTTAAATTGGATGATCTTGTATTTAATGCATTTTTTTTCATGTTCTCATTTCCATGCAAATATAGGAAGATTATATGTGAATAAATGTTTAAATCTACTCAAGAGGGTTTTTGAACAAAAGAAGAACGTTAATAAACAAGAATAAATAAGTGCTGTCATGGTCTTAAGTTGTGTTAAAACAATTTAACAAAGGTGGATTCAAAATCTTAGGGTGCACTCATAATCAACTTTACAAATATTCCTTAGTTGCTCACTAGATTAGTTTAGACAATTAGTATAAAATCAATTAATAAAAAAATTGACCATTCTATTTGAGTTAGTATTAATTAGAACTAGATTGAGTACATAGTTCTCCATATAACAATGGTCTTATTCACAACTTTATTACTTGGCTACGATACCATGTACTTACGGAATTTTTACAATCAAGTTTTTGGCCAGGGACTATAGTATATAGTTAATTATAGCTTTAATTTTAATTTTCATCACTTTATTTTAGATTAATCTTCGTTTACAAAATTATAGTATTTCATCTCTTTCTTTTCAAGAACTTGTGCCCAAACGAATTATTTTTATCACTTTGTTTTAGTTTAATCTTCATTTATAAAATTACAGTATTTTCAAAAGTGCAGCAAATTTGGCTATCGTGCTGGTTAATAAGAACGACAGACTTATGAGAAAATACATTGGTTTTATGGTTCTGCAAGTGGTATAGAATCTTTCAAGCATAGCTTATCCAGCATTTGGGCAAACAAACTTCCATTTGAGGACAAATGTGATTAATATATTCCAAAATGCCTTGCAATTCTTTGGTAGACAAACGACAATCCAAATATTCACTTCTCAAGTATTTCTGATATGTAAACTATCGAGTATATGGGCAATTGAATATTTGAGCATTTCGAGTGATGAAATTCGGTTGAGTTTATTTCCATGTACATTGAAGAACTTGGCAAAGAAATGGTTGGATACATTCCCACATCACAACATCACCTCATGGAATAGTTTATGCAATAAATTCTTTTCACCGAATGGGATTGTCCATTTGGGAGATGAATTCACTACCTTCTCTCGATTTGATTCGAAATGCTATTATAAGGCATATGAGAGATATAAAGGGCTGCTCCGACAATGTCCACAATATGGTTGGTAAAAATGGTTTTAGGTCCAATATTTTTGCATTGGACTAAATCTAACTAGCAAAGCTAATGTCGACTCTGCTTGTGATGGTTAAATCACAAAGAGGACGACAGATCGAGTGTAAGAAATAGTGAAAACTTTGGCATCTACTATTGCATCATCGCCATCTAATTGAGCAAGTGGGAAAAAAGTTGATGGATTCATGAGGTTGACACAATAACAATGATATCAGCTTAGCTTGCAACACTAATTAAGATAGGCGAAAGTATTGTGGTTAATCATTTAGTCAATGTAGTTCTAACATTTGGGTCAAAGTGTAATCATTGAGGAAAAATAGTGAAACCTCGGATTGCAACATGCGAAGTCCACTTGCTAAATAACCTAAGGAAGCAAATTGTGTCCAAAACTATCAGAGGTTAACCAAAAAAAAGGAGCTTAACCCAACATATACAATTCGAGTTTTTAGAGAAATCATCTGAACTCTTGGGATAATGCAAAATCATCTCATAATGCACCATATTAGAATAAGTCATTGGGTTTTCAGTAGCAAGAGAAGAAATCTCCATGGGATGAAGTATTGTAGGAAATGGAAGAGGCACAACTCAGTTCATATGAAAGTCTCAGAAAATTTTCTAAAGTAAAGAGCTTCGATAAAAATTCAGAAAATCAGATTGGACAGTTGGCTTGAATAATCTCAGATAGCAACCATAAAATATCCGTAGTAACACTGAGGTCAACCCAATGGAGCATGTGAAGACTATTACCACTCATAGTGGGGTCTACAGTTGCTATAAATGAACATGTACCTTCAACAGGCGAGAGGACCAACTGAAAAGTTTTGAACAAAATAATAAAAGTGAAAAGGAAGATGGTCAGAAGTTCCAAAGGTTAAGAAAACTACTACTACTAGAGTATAGTGCCATTGATACTGTTTTCTTAGATAAAAACAGAGGTTGGATAGAAAATTTTCACATTCCTGGAGATATTCAAAAAGCTACAGATCAACAAACCATTTACAGTTTTATTGGAACAGATGCCCAGATATACGAAGTTCATGAAAGAAATACGTATAAACAAAAGAGAGGTAGATGACAAGGAACTATAATGTTTTTTTTGGATAAGGTAAGTATATTATATCCAAAGTATAAAAATAAGTACAAATCACAGGGGCATATCCCAGGAAACATTGCTAAGAATTAATGCCTTCCTAGCAACAATAACAAAACTCTAGAAAAGTGCTCATATTCTAATCACGAGAACAAAAAATATCTGTAGAAAACCTCCAAAAGCATTGGAGCCATCTATTTTCATTAGATGAAACCAAGTTCCTGCACAAATAGTAAAAATAATATCTCGAATAACAGTAGATTCATTTTTAGGAGCCTCTCCATGATCCTAGCATTGCGTTCACGCCAAATCGCAATGCTAGGAAACATTAACCGAAGCCGCAAACATTAACCTAATAACAATGGAGGACATTGACCTCCCTCGAAATTGTTCCATCCAAGAAAGAATTTCTAGCCAACTCCATTGGACCCAAGGCAAGTTACACTTCGCATGCAGAGCATTCCAAACACGCTCAGAAAATGGGCAAGCAAAGAAAAGATGATCCAGATCCTCCACTGAACATCCACATAGCACATAACGCATAGACTATACCAAACCAAACCTAAGAAGCTTTGTATGTGTATAGATGCCACCTTGAATTGCTAACCAAAGGATAAATGCATATCTAGGAATACATTGAGGGAACCATACAATGTGATACCAAGTTACCCTAGGGCAACGAAGTTGAAGAGACTCCCAAGCACTCCGAACAGAGAAGACTCCATGTGTATTATCCTCCCATCACAATACATCCTCTCTATTACTGTCCGGCCGAAAAGTATTAAGCGTATCTCGCATCAAATCAGACAAAGCTAGGGAGCGAACTGATGGCCATCTCCAAGTATCACCCTCCATAATATCAGCCACTTTAGCTAGTCTACTCAATTTGGATTCACGAATGATCCTCTCTCCAAGAATCTTTTCTAAAGGGCCAAGAGGATGCCAATTATCATACCAAAGCGAGGCACGTCTACCATTCCCAATTCTGATTTTCATTTTGTCCCTCCCTATATCCCGGAATCCAAGAATTTTCCTCCAACTCCAAGAACAATCCCCAGGACACTTCAATTCCCAAATGCTCCGTCCTCTAAGTAAATAACAACGTGTCCACGAAACCCAAAGAGAGGAGGCAAAATCGGAACAAAGGGACCAAAGATGCTTTGACATGGCAGCCTTATTCCAAATCTCCAAGCCCCGCAGACCCAAACCACCCTTCTCCTTAGGCATACAGATTTTTGCCTAAGCCACTTTAGCCCCGCCGGTGCCAAGGTCACTACCCTTCCACAAGAAGTCCTGCAATGAATTTTCCACTTGCTTGATCACAGCCTTAGGTAAAAGAAATACACAGGACCAGTAGACCTAAATAGAAAATAACACTGACTTAATAAGTTGTAACCTCCCTGCATAGGAGAGCGCTCGACAGGTCCAACTCTTAGCCCTAGCTATAATACGGTCCACCAGGATCTTACAATCCAAAGCCCTCAATTTGGTAGAGATTAGCGGAACACCAAGATAACGTATCAGTAGCACGCCCTCCTTATACCCCAAAACGTCAAGCAACTGATCCTTAAGATATGAAGAAACATCACTGGCAAATAAATTACTCTTATCTGGATTAGGAATAAGTCCAGAAAGAGCTTTGAATCGATTAAGGCATTCCCTAATTATTGAGACAGAACCAACCTCAGCTCTACAAAAGACCATAAGATCATCAGCAAAACATAAGTGGGTGATCTTCTCCTTCTCAAATCTCCAGTGGTATTTAAAGTCCTGTTCAGCAACCATCAATCCCATTAGCCCCGAAAAGACCTCCATAGCCAAGACAAACAAGTAGAGCGACAAAGAATCTCCTTGTCTTAGACCTCGCCCACCAGCAAAGAATCCATGCAGTTCCCCATTACTGGAAATCGAAAATCGAGTGGTAGTGACACACTCAGTAATCCACCTAACAACTCTCTCAGGAAAACCAAGCACCATTAAAACTGCAAAGAGGAAATCCCAACGAACAGAATCGTATGCTTTCATGAGATCAACTTTAAGAGCACACCTAGGTAATCCTCCCCTGCGGTGATAATTCCTCAACAACTCTTGAGAAAGAAGGATATTATCACTAATATGCCTACCTTTAACAAAAGCAGTTTGTTGAGGTCCAACAATGTCTGGGAGCACCATTTTAACTCTATTAGCAATAAGCTTAGCAATACATTTATAAATAGTATTGCAACAAGAGATAGGCCTAAATTCCTTTACCTGAGAAGGATTTGGAACCTTAGGAACCAATGTGATGGTAGTAGCATTGACCTGCTTTAATAGCTTCCTCGAGTCAAAGAAGGACTTAATGGCACATAGCACATCATTTTCCACAATATTCCAAGTCCTCTTGAAGAAACCTGCATTAAAACTATTAGGCCCTGGAGCCTTATTGTCTTTCAACGAGAACAAGACCTCTTTAATTTCCTCAAATGACACATCTCTATCAAGATTTTCATTCTGCACTACTGAGATACTTTTAGGAAGAGCTTTACGGAGCAAGTTCATATCTAGACTCTCAACAGTAGGCTGCTGACCAAGGAGATTTTAATAGAACGTAACAATGACTTCATTGACCTCATGCGGCTCCTCCACTCTAGTACCATCGTCTTTACAAATAGAAACCACCTTACTCTTCCCATAGTGACTTTTCATAGCCTTGAAGAAGAAAGCAGTGTTTTGGTCTCCTAAATTCAGCCACTTAACACAAGCTTTTTTGTCTCAAAAAGCCTTCTTCATCCCTGCTCAACTCACAAAGTTCCTTTTGTAACCGAGCCTCCTCCCTATGTAGAGACGAATCCAAAGGCGATTGCTGAATCATACACTGAACATGCTCTATATCAGTCCGAGCTTGAGTAACTCTCGTAGGAATTTCTGAAAAATGCTCCTTATTAAAGTTTTTCAAGGCAAGCTTTAACTTCTTCAACTTCGAACACAGACAAAACATGGGGGTTCCCAATACTGTTTCACCCTAAACCTGAGCCACCAAAGGAAAGAAATCCGAATGATCCATCCAATAATCAAAGAAACGGAATGGAATCTTCCTACGCGGTAACTCTGCAACCGTCACAACCATAGGTGAATGATCCGACACTCCAGTAGTACGAAATGTAGCTGACGATCCCGAAAATTCCTCCTCCCACTTTGAATTCACCAATACACGATCTAGTTTCTTGAGAGTAGGATCAGATACATGCTTATTAGACCATGTATATAAACAGCCATCAAACTTCAAATCGACCAACCCTACTGTCGTCATGCAATTCCCAAGATCATCTTACCATGCATGCCAAGAAAAAGAACCACTTGCCACTTCTGAAGGAGAGAGAACAGAATTGAAGTCCCCCATGACTACCCATGGCAAGTGTGCAAACCCTCCATGCCTAGCTATGAAATCATCCCATAGATCAACACGCTTAACTGGGATGTTATCCCCATATACCACTGATACCACACAACTCCATTTACCATTACATGCATTAACACGAACATGGATGGCTTGAGCAGAGCAGCCTACCAACAAGACATCTACATCAATTGGATTCCAACAAACCCAAATTCTGCCAATCGGAGAACAATTATAATTTGAAAGGACACTTCAAGAGTTGAAGATGGCATTCACCACCTTATTTTGATTCTTCTCCTTAACTTTAGTTTCCACTAACCCACATAAAGAAAGCCTATTGGAAGCAATAAGGTTCTTTACTTCAGATTGTTTGACGGGGTCGTTTAACCCCCTGACATTCCAGCATCCAAAAAACATAATTAAAGTCAAGGAGAGAATCACAACCTCAAAATGACTAGCGTCATCTACCTTCCCTAGGGGAGTGATGCTTCTTACCTTTCTTATGCTTGCCTCCTGACCCATTCTTCTTTTTCTGAAGTGAATCTCTAGCTTTCGTAGCTAACGTGTTTGACTGCGAGACAAAAGTATCACTATCATCTTCACCTAGAATGGCAACAGGATCTGGAGAAACTTCACCTTCTTCCCCAATTTGAGAAGTCTCAATAGGCACATTCAACACCTCCAGATGCAAATTAGGAGCACTAGGTGGAGAAGATTCAACAACATCTACATGAGCCACACTGACAACCAACAGATCAACCTCTCCTTGGACCTCCTTAGAAATAGGCACATCAACCCCAGAATCAACACTAATTGTAGACTAAACCTGAAAAACAAGCTGCCTTCTAAACATAAAGATTCAGGGAGTTTTACAATGTCTTGTACTATTGGTGAATCACTTTTGATAATGCTTTGTGTGATTTAGTTGCAAATGGGTTATCTGTTTTCATAAAAAAAAAAAAAAAAAAAAAAAATCTTGAAAGTGTCCAAAACAATAGTAGTCAGTTTACAGCGGGTTGATCGCTCAATAAAATCTCAATGAAAGTGGATAAATTTATCTTTTTTGTTAATTTTATGATCCTTGAAATAGAGAGACGTGATGTACCGTGGATATTAGATCGATCATTCATTTCCGCTTGTCGTACTTCAATACATATTTAGAAGGGCAGTTAATTTTGAGGTTAAATGATGAATAAGTCACCTTTAGTGTCTTTAGTTCAATCAAATATCCAATTGAATAAGACTACTATTTCGAATTGTAAGGTTGAAAGACCTGTGGAAGAAACTTTACCATGTTAGCCAGGGGCGGACCCAGACGTCTAGTATTGTGGGGGTCAAAATTTTAAAAATAATTTTTTTAATAAACAACATAATATCAATAAAAGTAAGTTAATATGTATTTTGACACTTTGAAAACGTCGTATAATTACATCATTATTAATATTATTAAATAAATTTTACTACTTGTATAGTTTTGTTTATCATTTCGTTGGTAAATGCTGAGCTAACATTGAGTAAATTACATTGAATATAGAAATTAAATGAATTGAAATAAAATTCAAGTTTAGTTCAGGAAATAAATGAAATTCAAATTTAAAGCAAACATATATAATTCGAAAGTAATTCAAATTGCATTTAATCCGTAACAATCCTAAAAAATTTACTTCATATTTCATGTAAGACTTCCAAATGAAACGATATAAATTATATTGAAAAATTTATTGTGCAAAAATAATAATGAATTGAATTTAAAAAAAAAAACGAGTTAGACGTCTTTTTTAAGGCGTACGTTTGATACATATTTAACTATTTTCAATATCTGTTTGGACCATTCGATATGAAAATGATGTAGTTTTCAAAATAAACTTTTATATGACATAGACGATTTGTGGATTCAAATAGCACATAATTGCAAACGAATTTTTAGAGTTAGGATATTATCGAAACTCTCAAAATATTAGTTTCAAACGGCCTACTTTAACATGTCATAACTTTTGCTATAATTGACCACTTCACATGCCATTAATGAGTGAAAAACTAGGCCATGAGCACTTCGAAATGGTATTAAGAATGCAATATTTTGACTTCATTTGACATTCCGACGAGTGCATCAAAGTAGATTGCCAAAAAAAAAAAAAAAAGGTCAAATTTTGTGGGGTCATTTGACCCCACATGACCCCATGTGGGTCCGCCCATGATGTTAGCAGCCTCAAGACCGTCTCGAGATATGTATTTTGCATTGTCAAATTGAAAATTCAAACATTACATAGATCGAGCATTCTGCACACTACGTGGAGGCTTTGCCATCTTATAGGTGATCACATCACTTTGAAGACCTTGGTAAGGGACCTACAAAGCCCTTGCTATCCATCCAAACATCTAAAATCCATGAGCCCAAGTAGTTACCGTTATATCTGTGATATGAATGCTTCAGAGAGTTTTCTACTTTACTAATAATTATTGCTCTGAGATCAAAGAGGAAAAACTAATAAGAATGCTTTGAGATCGTAAAATATCCATTGGGTAAACAATTGCAGACATAAAAGCTATTAATAAATCTTCTCATTTCATGAGAAGATACTTATGGAAGCTGAGTTCAAGTTATCAGTAGAAAATCAGTGAAGTTTAAATACAACTGTTTGTGCTGAGGTTCTTAAGCTTATTGTTGCACAGATTATCTATCCCATCATCGAGAGTGATTAGGTGAGTCTAGTTCAAATTGTACTATAGGAAGAATTATTGTGGTCAAGAATGAAAACAATGAGCTTATTCCAATTAGGACAGTCACCGCATGGTGAGTGTCTATTGACTATTACAAATTATATGTCACTCATAAAGATTACTTTCTGTT